GATAACAAAAAAAAAACCTCCCCAAAAAAAAAAAAAAAAAAAAGAGAGAGAGTGGATGTTGTTTCCTGCCTAAAAAGCCATTCAATGAGAGTAATAATTAAGTATCTGTGAGTTGAAAATATCTGATGTAGGAGATTTAGATAATTACTCTAAGCATTTTCAAAGGGGTATAATGCTCCCCTATTTTTAAGAGAGATTTTTGCTATAGGGTGCATGCACTCACCAGAGAGAAAGAGAGAGACAGAAAACAAGAAATCACCCCCCAGGGGTATGGCCACGCTGCAATCCCTTCTCCTCCATTCTCCTCTCAGAATTTTGGGTACACATGGCTGCCAGGTCAGGACTCAAATCTCAATTGACTATGTGGGAATCCAGCAACATAGCCATTACGCCATCTGCTGGTTCTACTCTACTGTCTTTAAGGGGATAATTCATATGATTACTTCAGCAATGATTTTTCAAAATAAAAATACCTCTTTGAGAAACCAGCAGATGGCATAACGGTTATGTCACTGGATTCCCACATGGTCGATTCCCACATGGTTGACCGTGGTTCGAGTCCTGGACCCCGCAGCTTAAACTCACACCATGCACATGTGAATGCGTGCCCAAAGTCCCAAGAGAAGAATGGAAAAGGGATTATAGCATGGCCATCCTCCCTTGGGTGGGAGGGGGGTGATTTCTCACTTTCTGTCTCTCCTGCAAGCACACACACCACATAGGGGAGGAAAAAAAAAAAAAACACCTCTCCTGGAAAAAAAAATACATCTTTGAGATACAGGCAAAAAACTTTCTCACACATAAACAGGTGTCTTACATCAATATATGTTGAACTACTGAATTGTGAAATAAATACATAAATCGCAGATAATTTTTTCAGAAATATCTGCAAAAGAATGACAGAAATACTTATTCTAGATTTCAGAATCCTAGATTTTAGAACTAAGCCCCCGATTTGTTGATTTCTCATTTATTTTTAAAAGGAGTGAGCTGAGATGGTGGCTATTATATTCAATCAGGGTAGTGGTATTTTATACAATTAGCATAACTCAAGGAAACTCATCACAGGATCTGTGCATTATCATCCTTTAAAATTGTTTAAATTAGGGGGTCGACAGGTGGTGTGGTGGTCAGAGGCGTTGGACTCTCACATGGCTGACAAGGGTTAGAGTCCCAGACCTGATGGCTCGCTTTCTCATTTTCTTTCTCTGACTCTGATCAAACTATAAAATAGTAACAACAATAAAGCTAGATGAAAATAATTCTTTTTAAAAATGTTTAAATTAATTGCCAAATGATACCTGAGCCCACCAGAGTGAGAAACAGAGAAAGCACCCTTGAATGGTCCATAGTCACACTGTAATCCCTTCTCTACTCTCCATCCATCTGGAGTTTTGATACACA